TTCAATCGGTGGCGTCGCCGAATTAAACAGTAAAAAGTAGCTCCGAAGCCAGTCTAAACGCAGATTACCAAATCTCCAAGAGGAAGTACTTAGAGAAAAACTAGCGAATAGTTTTTTTTGAGTCCGTGCATCATTGTTTTTTTCTGTTTTTTACCCCTTACAGATTGTATTGCACCGCGAGTAGCTGAAGCCTGCGAAGGAAGCATTTACACTCAAACGTCGATACAAGGCTACCTCAAAGCATGGTCTACTTGCACTCGCCGCAGGATCGCCACACTAGCAAAATAATTGGAAGAGGCAAGTCGATAATTCAAATATTTTTATCTAGAACCCAACATCTCTAAAAATACACGATTTGACCTATTTCGCCGACGCATTTGCGGCCAAAAGCGCTCGTGAACAACCTACGAGAGCTTGCTCAAATGTACCGCAGTAAAGATTTTATGAATGCATTGAACAAATATCTGAGAAAGTCATTTTATACCCAATCAGTGGCCTTATAATGCTTCTCGCAACCTGATGCGTTATATTACCACCATGAGTTGGCCCCTAGAAGTAAGTTTGGGACTTGTGCTGTATGTCAAAACGAACTGTTGAACTGTCGGTCTTCAAGGAGTGTAATGGAGCCGTTTTCCTCTTTTTATATATAACTACTGTAACACAGTGGTGAGCGCTGGGGCGAGGAAGCGAAGACTGTGCCGAGACGTGAACCGGCGAAGAGAGGAACCGAGGCGACCCGAAGCGAAGCCCTGAGGAGGCGTGGCCAGTTGATGGACCACTGAGGGTTGTTTGGTAAATTGAAAAGTGAATTGAAATGAGGAAGGCTCTTATGGCTACCCGGCACCTACGGGTGGCTCACAGTGCTCTCCTAAGAATACAGTAGAGTGTATCCTAAAGTCTATCTTTTCCTATCTTCTGATTTGGCTATCTACCAATGATTTTCTTATAAACTTCCACGTAGCAATGTTGACTTGATTCTCTGGCGTCCCGTAATCAAGCTTCGAGAACATTCTCGATTTTCAGCCAATGAGACCTTCTCAATGTCTCAGTGTGACGGTGTAAACAAAACTAGCATATTACTAGAATTTTGTTTTAGCCAATCACATTGTGGATACATTTAGAATATGCATCTTGCACTTCAATGCCTGACAGAGTGAAAATGACAGCACTCCGTTACATGACCTCCCTTCAAGATAGAGCCTCCCCTAAAAAAAGGTTCTCTCTCTTCTTGGACTTCCAATAGAGGTCGATGAGACCAGAGATCTGTTTCAGATTCTCAACAGGTTCCCACGTGGCCTCTTTCTTGGTCTCGCCTAGCCACCAAATCTTGTACTGCAGTTTCCCTTGTACTTACGGTGGTTGATCACAGCTTCGACCAGTTGCCCTTCAGTTCCGTCGGCTAACACAACCTTGTCCACCTGCTGCCTGCGCTTTCGATCTTTGCGGTACGGTTTCAACAGTGACGTGGAAAACTGGATGCAACATCAGGTTCTTCGATAATCCCAACTCATACGAGTCATGCGATACCTTCTTCTGGACCGGAAATGGTCCAATGAACCTCGGAGCTAACTTCTTCGACTGTGCGTACCCCTTGTGACAAATATCCAAATTCTTTCCGTCTAGTAGCACCATGTCGCCAATCTTGAAGTCTTGGACAAGTCTGTTCTTATCGTAATAATGTTTCATGCGCTCCTGTGCTTCACTCATACGGTCTTGCGCGACCTTGAGGAATGCTTCTTGTCGGAGTAAAAACTCTTGCTGCTTTCTCCAACTTCTTGAACTCTGGATCTGACGCTACATCGTCGGGCATGTATGGAATATACCCAAGTTCCGCTTCAAACGGTGACATACCAATTATAGCATGCACGCGTCGATTATAGGCAAACTCTGCCCAATGATGAAACTCATCCCAATCATTCTGGGCTGGGTTGATGACTCCTCGGAGATAATCCCCGATAAAACGTTTTGTACGTTCCGTTTGTCCATCCGTCTGCGGCCTGAACGCCTATGACAGGTTCCCATAGCAGTGATAACAGCCTGACAAAACTTGGACATAAATTTGGAGTCGCGATCAGACACAATTGTCTTTGGAAGGGAATGATCTTTTACATAACTATTCATGAAAACATTCGCAATATCCTCTGCGCTGTCTGTCGTCTGCGTTGCAATGAACTTTGCACGCTTGGTCAATCGATCCACGATGACCATGATGGCAATACAGTCATCCTTGCTGGGAGGTAGAGACACAACGCAATCCATCGAAATGTCGACCCATCTACCTCGTGGTATTTCCAGGGGTTGAAGTAATCCTGGAGGCTTCGTCTCCCTGTTGCGCTGACACATTTCACAAGTGTTCACATAGCGCTGGATATACTTCATCATCATCGGCCAATAGTACTTCTCACGTACCGCGACATAGGTTTTGTAATACCCTGGGTGGCCTGCCGTGACTGCATCGTGGTTCTCACAAATGACTCGATTCTTCAGATCTTCGTCTTCAGGAATGTACAGTCTAGGACTCTCATCTTCACGCGTCTGATAGTACAACACGCCATGATTTAGCGAGTAATGCGGAACCTTGTCTCCTAGCTTCAGCTTCTTGACAATTCCCTGCAAGTCCTTGTTCCACGAGTACATCTTCTCTGCGGACTGTGCCACGGTCATATTGTTCTCGACCATGGTTGCCACAATTTCAC